TGAGGAAAATAAGTTACTGAACCTTATAAAACTTTACGGAGGGGAATGGAAGACAATTTCTAGTAATCTAACAAACAGGTCACCAACCGCCTGCAAGCAAAAGTTTTATAGCATGCTACGTCCAAATCTTCCAGCTTCAAAGATTGAAGTAAATTTATAATAAATTTAATTACATTGATGTCTTATCAAACCACAAAATATCTAAATCCGAGGCATTTATAATCATGCTACAATAATCCATGTAAGTAAAAGGTTGCTAATGATGGTTTTAGAATATTTTATAAATTTCAAACATGAAATTTACTTGAAACTTTTTAATTTACCAGACTTTTGCATTCTATAAATAGGTAAATTTTATAAATTTAATTACAATATGAAAAATTTAAAGAGCAATTGAGCCACAATTAATGGCGCAATTACTCTTGCACTACGAATTCTTGAATGTGCGCGTACATGAGTATCAGCAATAGTCGAATTTACAATTTAACCAATTAAATTACGCTAATACCAGTAGTATTTAGATCCCATCGTTATGGTGAGGAATAAAAATCGTATACAGATATGTTACGCGAATATTTCGTGGACCGTTGTCTTATTTATAGAGACCCGTCGGGGCTATTTATGAAATTATTAGATCTGTATTATGCTCGTTTCGTAAATTCCGGGACACTTGAAAATTGTCTGACTGAATCGATAAGTTTTTGACGTCAGCCGAAGTCAGTAATTTACTGATTTTGACCCGGTAACTTATAAATTGTTAAGAGTTTATGAAAACAGCTATAAAAGCCGGTTATATAGAGTTTTTACCAGGATTGGTATGAATGGAATTTAGACAATTGATTGATCGCGTAAAATTTTTCTCAAGCATTTTACCCAACAGATCGGGGGCTGGGGATCCATGCCAAGCACTAGTGCCTTGAGCTGTGCCTGTGTCCCTAGGTTAGGAGTAGATTAGTGGGTCCACCAAAATTCAGCAAACGACCTGCAGATCGCTGCCGATCCGGCTCCGGAGACCTATACTTATTTTAACA